GCTGCGGTTCGTCAAATACGTACTCGGGAGCCGGTAAACAATTCACTACACTATTTGTCGTAGAATCGTTTAGAGTATCTGTATTTTTCTGCCGTAATAAGGCTAGCTCCGATTCCTCTCTTAGTTCGCTATTTAACGTTGTTTCTTGTTCGCTCGCAAACAATTCAATGCATTCACCGTCTCTTTGAGGAAGTTCTGACAGCGACCGCCACAGTTTGTGTAAAAAATCTCTGAAAAGCAAAAGTGTGGGTTGGTTGGATCGGGAGCTATCCTCGGCGTTCCGCGTATGTCATGAGGCGTCGACCGTAGTTTGATATAACCTTCTGAATCTATCCTTTCCCAATACTTATTGCCAGAATTGGTCCCTTTGATAGTATTCACTATCTCGTACCTTTCGGCAATAGTAGCCCGGGTTGTCTCGTCGAAAAGTGAATCTCGCGAACGCGCCATGTACGCATCTTCTGTCTTCTCTATCCGAATCCCTTCAGAACGAGTTTTCATTGTTGAGTTCCCTATCAGACGCCTCAACTCTGTAATACCTCATCCTATGGCGCATTACTTTCACTCTTGACACTTTCCTCAATTTACTCTACAAACGTAACTCTCGTAGAAGTATGTATTTGGCCTCCTGTGCACTAACTTCTCTAATCGACAGTGTTGCGTTCGCAACGCGCTTCATAATAGCGTAATTAAGCAAATTCGGATCACAACGCTTCACGGCTGCGCCAATAAATTTCTTAAACTTGAGAGTATCAGGCTCGGCCTTGCTTACGTATGCGGCCGTGTACTCGGCTGCTCCGTACGCGTTCCCAATGAGCTGAATATCCATGTCCGCCCACCAAACTGAGAGAAGTGTAGGGCAGTATTTTTTATTGTAGCACAGTCCATCTTTAATTGCATCTGTATCAACTGAACGCCGTCAATGGATCTCTGTTTTTTTTCTTGAAAGTCCTATAGGTAACCAAACCTACAGTCGTTTCCTGATTTTTGACAAGATGACTGAGACGAGCAAACATGCTGTTGCAACACGAGCTAGATCACAATCCCAATCTGGCCTTCCCGGCGAGGGTGGCCTAGCTGAAAGAATATCAAAATTTGCTTCACGTTCTCTTACACAAATTCTGCATTTACAGACTTTCAGCTCTGCAGTACTCTTCGTCAAGACGGAATCTATATTGTCAATGTAGGAAGCTAACCTTGTGCGCCCAAACACTGATCTGACAGTATCAGTACATCTGGGGCGTCTCGGACCCATAACAAGGCGTGTATGTGCGGAGAACCCCGCTGTTGAAATTCTAAGCGCCAGAAATAACCAATTATATCATCTAGAGATTTCGCTTTGCCACAAAGCATATTGTCAAAAAATGCTCTGAATCGCCTATCCAAATGCCGAGCCGTGATATCAGGATTTGCAGTCAGATACCTGCGTCTTTGCTGACTGGACAACGATCGAGCTTTTTCTAGCCTTAGTGCTGGATCACAGGCGTGAAAGAAGTCTGGACAGATTGGGTCAGCAGCACTAAGAGTTAGAAAAACACGTAGGCCACCGCGATGGCAAAACACAGTTCCCTAACATGGTCATTAGGTCATCTCTGACATTGGCCCAGTATAGTCCGCTTTACGAACGCCTCGACAATAAGGTTTTAAAGACTCTAGTAGTTCCATCGTAGCATCGATATCCTTTCTTATACTTTCTGAGCAACCCTCAACGGATGTACATCTCGGTCTGTCATTATTTGGGCAGGACCAACCATGCGAACCAGGCCGTCTATCTGTCTACGTTGAATGAGGTTCAAGCAGAAAAACTTTATGTTACAGTGTGTTACAAAACTCCGATCCTGCCATTTCATGGTGAGGGCACAGTATTATGCGAGTTTGTATTCGTGCGTTCGATTTTCTACATCGACCAAAGGATGCATTCCCCCTTCTCCGTTTGAAAAAATGGTAGGAAAACAGTTCTGCATTAACATTGTCGTGGTGTATTCATTAATTCGATTCTCCCAACGTATTAACTCGCCCACGGGGTATATTGTTTTTCCTGCTACACTATTCGCCGCAATAATATTGTTTTTGCTTCGGTTTGCGTGTTGGATTGATCAGCTTGTAGCTCAATCGATTTCTCGCCGTCAAAATGTTCTTCAGTGGAATTTCTTTCCCGACTATCGTCGGCCATCTTACCAGTTTGGTTTATAACTGGAGGCCATTTTCATTGTAGGCCGCACCCTCAGATGGTCGACCTTGTTGATCTCGCATCATCCAAAGCTCATTTTCTTCTTCCTGTGTGAGTTCAATGCTAGTCATTGACGCATCAGGGTCTGA